AGCCCACTCATTCAATAACTCATATCATTGCAGTAAGGTCTGTAGAGATAATATTTGATTATATTTAAAATAAACGCATTGCCAGTAAATTTATTTGTGTAAAATTTCAACGATAGATATATGGCAATTAAATTTAATTTTACAGTTTACTAAACACAATAGTAATACAAATATATAATTGTATTGTATAGCTTTATAAGAATAAAGTTCGCGTCACCATCAAAATAGACTCTGAAACTAAGCACCAATAATTTCAGGCTAATGGCTTTCGTTAGCTCAAAGCGGACTTTATTCCACGATATCTACAAAAGATGACGTCTCTAGTTTTGACGTCTATTTTGACGGTAGAGGCGACCTTTATTTTTATCCATTATTGTCCTCTCGGCAGAATTTTCATCCAATTTCATTATAGTAAAGTAAAATAATGGAAACTTTTGGTGAAAAGACAACGTGGTTTTGTTTATTATTTCAATAATTCCTTTAGACTAAAGCAGGATTCCTTTTACGTCTTACTTCTTCTTCTTTCTTATCTCCACTCAATCACACTACGGTATCAAGCTTGTAAAGCTTATTTTGACGGTGACTACCGGGGAAGAATAGAGCTCATTAAAGGATGAGTTTTCTTCTTCTTTCTTATCTCCACTCAATCACACTAAGGTATCAAGCTTATAAAGTTTGTTGATGGTGTCTGCCGGGAAAGAGTAGAGCTCATTAAAGGATGAGTATTCTTCTTCTTTCTTATCTCCACTCAATCACACTAAGGTATCAAGCTTATAAAGTTTGTTGATGGTGTCTGCCGGGAAAGAGTAGAGCTCATCAATGGATGAGTCTTCTTCTTCTTTCTTATCTCCACTCAATCACACTAAGGTATCAAGCTTATAAAGCTTGTTGATGGTGTCTGCCGGGAAAGAGTAGAGCTCATCAATGGATGAGTCTTCTTCTTCTTTCTTATCTCCACTCAATCACACTAAGGTATCAAGCTTATAAAGCTTGTTGATGGTGTCTGCCGGGAAAGAGTAGAGCTCATCAATGGATGAGTCTTCTTCTTCTTTCTTATCTCCACTCAATCACACTACGGTATCAAGCTTGTAAAGCTTGTTTTGACGGTGACTACCGGGGAAGAATAGAGCTCATTAAAGGATGAGTCTTCTTCTTCTTTCTTATCTCCACTCAATCACACTACGGTATCAAGCTTGTAAAGCTTGTTTTGACGGTGACTGCCGGGGAAGAATAGAGCTCATTAAAGGATGAGTCTTCTTCTTCTTTCTTATCTCCACTCAATCACACTACGGTATCAAGTTTGTAAAGCTTGTTTTGACGGTGACTGCCGGGGAAGAATAGAGCTCATCAATGGATGAGTCTTCTTCTTCTTTCTTATCTCCACTCAATCACACTACGGTATCAAGCTTGAAAAGCTTGTTTTGACGGTGACTACCGGGGAAGAATAGAGCTCATTAAAGGATGAGTCTTCTTGTAAAGCTTGTTGATGGTGTCTGCCGGGGAAGAGTAGAGCTCATCAATGGATGAGTCAATAGAGTCAATAATGTTTTGAAAATTGAGCAATCCACAAATAAATATTTAATTAAAAAGGCATATATTGGATCAAAATATCATTTATTTTACCAATATTTCAGTTGGCTGAACGCCAACCTTTATCAAGGTGTTATAACATTTTAAAGTTTAAAGCACACATTAAAATGTTATAACACCTTAATAAAGGTTGGCGTTCAGCCAACTGAAATATTGGTAAAATAAATGATACTTTAATCCAATATATGCCTTTTTAATTAAAGTCAATAATGAGTTTTGGGGTTGCAGGTTGAGAATTGCACTTAGTACATAGTGGGAAAACCCTGCAACCATTCTGGAAAGTCATTGTCCGTAGAAGACCAGACTTTTGTTCCTTTTACGTATTTCTGACTACAAAATGGAATGTTTATTTTTACTTCACATAACGTATTCCTGGATCAGCGAGCCACTCAGAATGGATATGTCATCTCACACCGCAGCGATAAGTAATGGCGTCAATATTTCTCTCATCCTTTCGTTTTTTTTGCCAGTTTTTTGTTCACATTTCAATAAATCTTTGATTTCCGGGTCATGTTGACACACTTCTAAAATAAATTGTAATTTACACTTACTGGAAACTTATTCCTGATGCAGGTACAAATGTATATTTAAGATTTGATTTCAAATATATCATCGGTCAGAAGATATGCCCTTTTATAAAAATATCTAAAAATCTTATGCAATTATTTTGTTTATTTTATAATAAAGAAAATGAATGTGTTTTAGGTTTTTAGATATTTTTATAGAAGTACTAGACGGGTGACCCGGGCTTCGCCCCGGGATTGACCCGTGTGCATATCTACCCGAGTGATATATATTTAGATAAGATTTTTTATAATTGTTTGTTATTAGCATTATCTATTTGTTTGCATCAGCATAATTTAATCTAATTTTTGATAGAGGGCGCTGTTCGTGAGCTAAGTAGAATAATTTGAATATATAGTTTTAATAATTGATTTATTTATATTTTTTAAAATAGCCTATCGTCTTCCCCGTATTTTTTTTACCTATGTATGGAAATTTTGGTTTGATTTAGTGAACTACTGCGAATTTGTATACCGGACATACAAACAAACAAACATACAAACATTGGTTTATATATATATATTGTGGCGAAGAAATATTTTATTATTTAATTTAATATTATTCAATGAAAATATATTCAACAGATTATAAAAATATATATTAATCTGTTTTTGTGAAATCATCTTAAAATATTTCTTTGCTTACTTGCTTAAGATTCTCTAGCTGTAGATAGTTGGGCTGACTTGTTAATAATTGTCGACTCGTCGCTGTGACGTCACCAATAAATACTTTTACATCTTAGGATATTTCAAGGCTTGATTTCCACGCTACAACTGGTGAAGAAGCTGGACCGATACCCATTAAGAAATAAAAGAAAAATTGATTCTGTTGAACCAGAAGAAACTTCTATGAATGTAAAGACGGAAGCAGGTACCCAGGTAAGCAACTACGTTGTTCAACATCTGCCAAGGAACCCTTCCATTTTCTCCGGGGAGGATGGTGAAGATCTCCAAAAATGGTTAAAAGGGTATGCACGTGTGGCAAAGTACAACCATTGGGACGAAACCCTTTGTCTTACTAAAGTTTATTTTTATCTGTCTGGAACTGCTCTCAAATGGTTTGAGAACAACGAAGAAAGCATCCAGACTTGGAAGGAATTCACATCTCAATTAGAGAATGTGTTCGGAAAAAAAGAAAATTCAAAATTGCAAGCGGAGAAGAAACTCAAAACACGGGCACAATTAAAAGGTGAAAGTACCGAATTTTACATCCAGGATGTCCTGTGCTTGTGCAAAGAGGTTGATCCTCAAATGAGCGTAGAAGATAAAATCTCCCATCTCATGAAGGGGATAGCTGAGGAGCTTTATCAAGCACTCCTACCGAGGGATGTACAGAGCACCGAGCAATTCATTACAGAATGTCGCCGTGTCGAAGCGCTCCGTTGTAAGCGAGTTACCCCAACCAAGTACGAACGTCTACCAAATGTAGCCTCTCTCTGTTACCAGGATGACGGAGAAGATCTGTCATCGCTGATCCGAAAAATTGTTCGTGAAGAGATAAAGCAAGCATTGGACTCTTCTCAAGAGGAGCCTAAAATCGCTGTCATTGAAGATTTAGTGAGGGAAGAGATTGTAAAGACCTTCGCACCTAGATCAAAACCTACAATAAGTCCCCCTCAAGCATCCAGGCCGGAATCAAATACTAGATACGAGGCCCAAACGATACGACCGCATCCTGAACCTCATTACCGAAAGCAAGGAAGAAGATGTGACACCAATGAATGGCGGACAACTGAGGGAAAGTCAATCTGTTTCTACTGCGGACGCCCAGGTCACGTCATCCGCTATTGCCGCGACAGGAAGAGACACAATGAGGAGAGGAGAAATGAATATTTCCAAAGAAAGCAAGACGCAATTGAATTCTACAACTCTCAAACCCAATCTCAGGAACCCAACGATGAATCATCGAGGAAAAATTTCAGTCGCTACCGAAGCCCTACCCCATATACCGGTCGAAACAGACAAAAATTCTCACCTGCTAGAAGATCTAGCTGGTCGCCCCCGCCATGAAAATTAGATCATAGACCATATTGGAAGTTAGGCCGCAAAGTTAAGAATTCCTACCTTGCCGACCACATTATAAATAAGAAAAAACACTACATTGACGTAAATATAGACCTGCCAAGCCCCCAGGAAGAAGTTATCTCAACTGAAAGAAGACATCCCCACTGAACGAACACAACAACCACAGACCCGCGAAGAGATCTCAGGCCCTATCACCCGTTCTCGAGCCTTGAGACTGAGGATGTAAGTCTCCTTCTGAGCATCGGGTCTATGCTCTTTATAGGAGGAGGCTATGTGGCGAAGAAATATTTTATTATTTAATTTAATATTATTCAATGAAAATATATTCAACAGATTATAAAAATATATATTAATCTGTATTTGTGAAATCATCTTTAAAATATTTCTTTGCTTGCTTGCTTAAGATTCTCTAGCTGTAGATAGTTTTGGGGCTGACCTGTTAATAATTGTCGACTTGTCGCCGTAACGTCACCAATAAATACTTTTACATCTTAGGATATTTCAAGGCTTGATTTCCACGCTACAATATAGATATTACAGTTTTCTTAATTCTGAATATTTTGTTTTTAATATTTTAGCAAAGTATTTATTATTTTATTAAAAGAGTATGTTTATATTTTACTACTCTGTTAAATTCCCTCGTTGCTTATCTTTTGTTTATTATTCATAGTTTGTTCTTGCCTTAAATAAATTGCTGTGTCATCCTGAAGACCATTCTCTTATGGCCAATTAGTCTCAACAACAACTTCCTGAAGTTTGTCTTTTATAATTTTCTGCATGGCATTATTGAAAAGAATAGCAAATAGCAACACAGATAGTGTTGCTCCATACTACATTGAAAACACCGGTTCTCGTCCGATCACCAAAGTTAAGCAATGTCGGGCCCGGTCAGTGCTTGGGAGGGTGAAGTTTGTCTTTCCTAATTTTCCACGTGGCAATATCAACACTTGACCTTTTATTATTTTTCTTACTTTTTTCCGTATACCATTATCTGTATTTGTAAAGTGCCTATTTTATAAGCAACTTAACTTATTAAAAATATGTGATGAAAATTGTTAGATATTCTTTAATTATTAATCGGTTGAAAATCACATTAATACCGCTCAGCAAGAGCAACCTAGTTCATGATAATTGAAACAGTGAATAATATGCGAAGGTTATTCACATATTAAACAAATTTTAACGCGGGATTCAATCCCGGTTCATGACTGTCGGGAATCGAGGGTGTTACCCACTCGTCCACCGACTTTTTTTTGTTAATTATTAATATAAAACTGTGAAAAAATGATTGAATTTATTTATAAAGTAAAAAAGGTACTTATGAATAAATATTAAGTTTATGTTTGGAAAATTATATGAAAATGATGAAGGCATTGATATGGACAAAACCTAAGGAAGTTGTACCTTCTAGCATATATATCGGGATTGAGACAATAACTCTGAAAGATACACTCATGGACAAAACCTAAGGAAGTTGTACCTTCAAGCATGCATATCGGGATTGAGACAATAACTCTGAAAGATACACTCATGGACAAAACCTAAGGAATTTGTACCTTCTAGCATGCATATCGGGATTGAGACAATAACTCTGAAAGATACACTCATGGACAAAACCTAAGGAATTTGTACCTTCTAGCATGTATATCGGGATTGAGACAATAACTTCAGACTAAAACTTTAGCGTATAATCACAAATTCTCTCTATATACATTCGTGGACAAGTGGGCGAGTGTTTAAACCGTTGGTTTTCGACCGCTACGACCCGGGATCGAATCCCGCATTGGGCACTTTTTTCTGATAAAAAAAATGCTCCAATGGCCCCCGATTCTTGCAAAAAGTCCAACCAAACGAGGCTCTAGCACATTTGTAAGTGAAAAAGTCGAACTGCTTTTCATGTCTATATATAGACCACACCTTCCTGCGGTCCCCCCTGGACCCTTGGAATATTCGTCCAAATTCTGGTTTGTTTCCAAGGTGACTAACGTGGCAACGGCACCCGTTTTCCAATGAAGATCTCCAGCAATGCTTCCGCGTCCGGGGTAACCGCCGCGTCAGGAGCTGCAGCCCGGGCTCCTGATGAGAAATCTACTACGATGACACAATTGAATCTACTACAGCTCAATATAAATGGCACCCAGAGGAAAACTGAAGAGCTGACTTGTCTTCTCCGTGACAGCATTTGGTGCACTTACAGTAAAAGCAGTCGCTAACTTCCCACCATGATTACCATGGTCTGTAACGCATGTACTTGGGATACATTTTTTAAAATGGTTAGATTATTGAGGGCTAAGTATAAAAAAATGTCAACAAACCCAGACGCCAGTTACACCAACCGGTTATAGTTAGATAAAGATGGATTAAAATAAAGTCCCAGCAATATGAAAAACCCAGTAGAGTCCCAGTAAAACTAACGTCCATCCACAGAAATGGCAGAAGGACATTGTGAAACACAGAATTATGAAGGAAATCGTTCGACGCGAAGAGAGAAATGTCGCAATTTGCTAATGGAATTGTCGCCATAATGGAATCGGGGCTTTTTAAATCCAATTACAACGGACGTTGGTTGGTCCGACTTTAAAGGATTTATTTGAAAAGATTATTCTGCATGAGATTTCACAATCGAATGTATAATTCAATTATTCTTTCAATATTTTATTTATAGATTATACAACAATATTCAAACTATGAATTCCATGTAAATATTACCAAAGGTTTGTGTACCACATTATTTATTTATAAACAAAAGAATCAAATTCTTGAACCTTACGTTATCAACGTTTATATTCGTTGTCGTTTCTCCAACCGCAGTGATGTATTGCACTCCCCAAAAAAGGTATTTTTACCCTAAATGCTACATTACGAGTCAACATTTACTAGTATTCTCTCCATGTTAGTTACCTTAACTATCTATATATTGAAATACATCTTGTCGCATACCTTGGGATATTTGCATGGTATTGTTTTATTTTGTATATTTGTATATTCTGTATATTTGCAAATCAACCATCCTTTTAAAGAAACAAAAGGTAAATATATATAAAACAAAACAATACTATGCAAATATGTCGAGGTATGCGACAGACTCCCCCTCCATGACCTCTCATCACTCCTGTGATGAGACTCTTTTGAAGGTCTCTTATTTCGTTGAAGATCTGAAGACCTAGAGGTATCGTCTGAAGGCTTAGAGGTATGGTCTGCAGGCCTAGAGGTATCGTCTACAGGCTTAAAGGTATCGTCTGCAGGCCTAGAGGTATCGTCTACAGGCCCAGAGGTATCGTCTACAGGCCTAGAGACATCGTCTGCAGGTCTTGAACAGTCATAGGGTTGGATGTACTTGCTGGCCTGAGGAGCTTTCTTCAAGACAACTAGCCAGAGATATGGGACTCCCAACTCATCCAAGTCTTCAGTTTCTGAATGAGATTTTTGACTTTCTCCAACGGCAATCTGCGTTGATGTCTCCTCAATGGATTCAATATGCATTTCACAAGCAGAGTTAAATTCTCGCATTTCATTATGGGTTCAAATTAGCTGAGAAACATTCTCGTAAAAAGCACTCGGATTAGGATTATCATTCTTTACAAGTCGAGATATCTCAAAATCTTCCAACTTGGCAATGCAGTTGTTGGTTGGGATTTTATAATTCTCTCCTCCATATTCAGGATGAAAAAAGACAAAATGAGATAAATTCATATCATGCAAATCCAAATTATTCTTTTCACTATCTTCAATAATATTTGAAAAACATTTAGATCCCAAATCACGAATAATCCAAAAATCTTTAGGATAACAAAGATTGGCTTGAGCACTACCTTGTAAGGTTCTTAAAGCATCAAAAATATTTATTTCCTTTTTAAAAGCATCGCTTCGTTCGATCTCATCCCATCTACATTCATGACCATCAATAGTATAAGATGCAGGAAGAAGTTCATCATCTCTTATAATAATTTCTTCAGTTATATGGATTTTACCATCTTCTTTATCTCCGTCTTTAGAATTCACTTTATCAGGTTTCTGAAGAGGCTCCATAGTGTAAGGGATGCAATTGTCCTTTTTTGCTGCGTCATTGGAAAAGTCTACGCCATTGATATCGTGGCTATGTATCTCATTCAAATCCAAGCGTTTTAGCGCTTCTCTAGTCTGGTGACACCACATCATACTACGATCGTGCTTGAAAACATGCTGGTAAAAAACAGAAGGTTCGTCTTCATTGCCAACGAATAACATGGGATTAGTCCACTTAGGAATCATGTCATATAAATGTCCTATAAATGCTGGTTTACCTACGTCTTTAAGATATGCCAGAACAGGCTCGTCATAGGGTTGGATGTAATACAATTCCAGGCAATTTATGAGTAATTCCATCTTCGGTCTAGTTGGTCTGCCTATTTTGACATACCATTTCTGAGTTCGAAGTAGCTGCAGGTAACGATAGAACCTCGTGACCTCTAAAGTAAAGGATAAGACATCCTCCCCAATCATGGCAATGTCACGTAGTCCTTTCTTTGTCCAATTCGCTTCCAAAACTTCCTCGTATATATCTAAAGGAGATCCTGGTAGAAAGAAGATTGTTTTACCTCCACGCAAACATCCACCTTCTATCTCTGAAATTTCCATCATTCCAATGTCGTATTTATCAAGCATGCTTTTTTGCATCTGGCTGAATTCTTTAGCATAAATCCAAACTTTTTGGCAGCGTGTTAATTTCTTTAATATTAACAAACGACATCTTGCGTGATTGCATTTATCGAAATCACCTATTCCATGGCAGATAATAGCATCACATATTCCTAATTTCATATTTCTTTTTTCACCGCTTGTTTGAAACGAATAGATTCCTTTTTTGATAAAGAGAGAAAAATCAAAGATAAGGAGGATAAGTTTCTTTTATGAACAAACAATCAAGCTTTCGGGCACAAAGTCGCCCTTCTACAGGAATAAAAATATACAAAATCAAGATCCGTCTATATATATACAAATAATTAGCATAAGTAATAAATAAATATTAGAAATTAGAGAGATAACATTTAAGTTTTATGTCTGACATTCAAACAAGCGGTGAAAAAAGAAATATGAAATTAGGAATATGTGATGCTATTATCTGCCATGGAATAGGTGATTTCGATAAATGCAATCACGCAAGATGTCGTTTGTTAATATTAAAGAAATTAACACGCTGCCAAAAAGTTTGGATTTATGCTAAAGAATTCAGCCAGATGCAAAAAAGCATGCTTGATAAATACGACATCAGACATAAAACTTAAATGTTATCTCTCTAATTTCTAATATTTATTTATTACTTATGCTAATTATTTGTATATATATAGACGGATCTTGATTTTGTATATTTTTATTCCTGTAGAAGGGCGACTTTGTGCCCGAAAGCTTGATTGTTTGTTCATAAAAGAAACTTATCCTCCTTATCTTTGATTTTTCTCTCTTTATCAAGTTACTCCAGAGGATTTTAATTTATTTAATTAGATTCCTTTTTTGAGAGTTTCCAATAGAGTATCGTAACAAGGTAGCTCTCTCAAAGCTCTTTTCAATAACTTCATGTCTTTGGGGATGGTGTTTCTGTTATTCCAGGTGGTGGAGAGGCTCAACTCCTTTGGAGGTGCTTCTTCGCCGGTACCAGGCTTCTCAGTAGGCCCTTGTTCCCCAGTAACAGACTCCTTAGTAGGTTCTTTTTCTCCAGTACCAGACTTTTTAGTATTTTTTACAGACTCAATACTTTCTAGAGACTCAATACTTTCTAGAGACACAAGGCTTTCTAGAGACTCAATACTTTCTAGAGACTCAAGGCGTTCTAGAGACTCAAGGCTTTCTAGAGACTCAAGTCTTTCCAGAGACTCAAGGCTTTCCAGAGACTCGAGGCTTTCTTCTTCTTCCTCCTCTTCTTCTTCTTCTTCATCATCTTCTTCTTCTT